AAATACTTCAGTATATTATGAAAACTGCAGCAACATACATGCAGAAAATAAAATAATTAAAATAAAGAGTGTATTTATTTATTTAGTAATACAGCATAGCAGACCAAACCTTTATAAATAAATAAGTAAAATACTTTCTTTCGTTTTCTTTTTTTTACCATGACCACTTGCTATACTGGATAAAAAAATAAATAAAAAAAAAGTTATGTCATTTTTACATTGTTAAGTTATTTTAATGACAAACCAGCAGCTGGGTTAAATGTGGTTCCCGCCGGCGACGGTTAAAATTTAATAGTCAATTGACCGACGCTACAGCCGTATTAAAGGATAGTTCACCCAAAAATGAAAATTCTGTCATTAATTACTCACCCTCTGAATAGAAAGTTCAAAAGAACAACATTTATTTGAAATAGAAATATAACAGTAATGAACAGTAATATATGTATATATATAATAGTTGTGTGACTATAGCAGGTGATTGTGTTGTCATGACACACTTATGACACAGAGCCATTCAAACCCTCACACACTCCTTCGTGATGTTTGATCACGCATCCACACGTCCAGTCGTGATTCATACTGTCATGTTTAGTCATAATGTGTGTGTTTCAGGTGCATGTGCTGATGGAGAGGATGGTGGATTCTCTGTGTGATTTACTCGATGACACTCAACACACTCCTCAGACAGCATATTGATACTTCCGTCTGTCTTCATTTACTGTCTAAAGAGTCCGATCTTAATTGCACAAGTCAGTAAATGTAATGTTCCTGTCAAGAAGAGCCTTTGGTGTGTTTCTGGTGTGAGTTTTAAACTAGCCGTTCTGAAACAACTGAATGAGATGATTCAGTTTATGATTTATGAGATAATCTATAAGCTTGTCCATCAAGCGTTTCAAGCCCAAATGGCTGAAGGTTTAGCTGGTTCTCATCACTATACCCTGCTGTATGTATCTGACCGTCTTTATTAATGACCATTCAAACGTATCTGTATATTTCTGCTAAAATAAACATTTCAGTTGCAAATACTTCAGTATATTATGAAAACTGCAGCAACATACATGCAGAAAATAAAATAATTAAAATAAAGAGTGTATTTATTTATTTAGTAATACAGCATAGCAGACCAAACCTTTATAAATAAATAAGTAAAATACTTTCTTTCGTTTTCTTTTTTTTACCATGACCACTTGCTATACTGGATAAAAAAATAAATAAAAAAAAAGTTATGTCATTTTTACATTGTTAAGTTATTTTAATGACAAACCAGCAGCTGGGTTAAATGTGGTTCCCGCCGGCGACGGTTAAAATTTAATAGTCAATTGACCGACGCTACAGCCGTATTAAAGGATAGTTCACCCAAAAATGAAAATTCTGTCATTAATTACTCACCCTCATGTTGTTCTAAACCTGTAAGACCTCCGTTCATTTTCGGAACACAATTTAAGATATTTTTGATGAAATCCGAGAGCTCTCTGACCCTCTCATTGACAGCAAGGATCCTAACACGATCAAGGCCCAGAATGTAGTATGGACATCGTTAAAATGGTCCATGTGATATCAGGGGTTCAACCGCAATTTTTCGAAGTTACGAGAATATATTTGTGCACAAAGAAAACAAAAATAAGACTTTATTCGTTATCACGACTCTGAATGTAAACAACATATGCTGTTCTGTGTCAGCAGCGCCATGCGCATACGTTGTTTACGTTCAGATCAAAGCAAAGCGCATACATCGTGAAACTCCAAAATGGCGCCAGGGTGATGCTGAGGAGAAAAATTGTTGAATAAAGTCGTTATTTCTGTTTTCTTTGTGCACAAATCGTATTCTCGTAGCTTCAAAAAATTAGGGTTGAACCCCTGATGTCACATGGATTATTTTACATGATGTCCTTACTTAAAGGTGGGGTAAGCGATTTTTCAAAAACATTTTAGAAAACCGATTCGGGCCCAATAGCAAAACAAACTTGTAACCAATCAGCAGTAAGGGGCGTAACTACTCAGGATGTGGAGGAGAGCGCGTTCAGTGCAAGGAACGGACATTAGCCGAGATGGCAGATAAAAAACAAAAGAGGAAAATGTCTGCGGAACAATAGAAGGCTTAAGGCAAGACAAAGCGACCATTGAAAATCATTTGAAATTTGTGTCAATACCTCATGAATGGAACTCAGCAGCAGTTTTGCTTTGTTTCACAGAACTAATCCGTTGCGTAGGTATGTGTGGGGTGGAGCTATCAAAATAGGGGCGAGACACTTTTGGGGTAGGGGCGTAGTTTGTTTTGGCGATTTCAAATGTTAACATTGGCTACCAGAAATCGCTTACCCCCCCCTTTAAGTTTCTGGGTCTTGATCGTGTAAGGACACTTGCTGTCTATGGGAGGGTCAGAGCTCTCGGAATGCATCAAAAATATTTTAATTTGTGTTCCGAAGATGAACGAAGGTCTTACGGGTTTGGAGCAACATGAGGGGGAGTAATTAATGACAGAATTTTCATTTTTTTGTGAAGACAGGTAAGTTGAAATATCGTTTTGAGATGTGTATATAACTCTTCCTTTAAGTAAGTATTACCTAATTGAATAGATCGGAAAACATCTATTTTTAATATTACGTTTTAATTCCCTTAATGTTTTATTTCTCCAGAGAATGAGTTAACTCGCTATCATTAACATCATTCAGTGACACAGTACCTTTGCACTGTCACAATATTTAGTCCTGAATTTATATTTTGTAGCCTATTATCAATGTACTACTTTATGATTAATTTATGTAATTTTGAAATACAGGGTAACAGTGTGATAACTCCATCTCGGTCCAATTAGACCAGGGGTGCCCAAACTCAGTCCTGGAGGGCCAGTGTCCT